TGTTTTTCTTTGCATTCAAACCCGCCCTTCAATCTCGAACTTAACAAAACGTATCTATTGCATCAACTCGTCAATCTATCGCAAAATTTCAACTCTTTCTCCCACAGTTAGATCAATGCATGATTGACGTGAAAGTTAAGTGATTTAAACGATAAAGATAAAAAAGTTTCAATTAAAAAATAAATTATTTTTGTATTTTATGAAAAAATGCTACCTCGTCTTTTCGGTGAATCAGTCATTTGATCGCATTTTGCTGCACGCCTTGCAAAATGTTACCAAACTTGTAAAAAATAAGTAATGACTGCTCCTTGTCAACTTTGTATGTTTTAATATTGATGTACTGTACTTTTCAAATGTGACTAGACGCAAACCAAAACCTTTTATTAATATAAAGGGCGAAAGAAAAACAAAACTAAATAGCAACACAACTCCTTACACAGCATGTGATAAAAGAATAAAGTACAAAATGTTTGAGCAGACACAACACACAATAAATCCAAAAATAATACCGTGTTTAAAAAGTCATGAAAACAAATGGTCTCGAGAAAACCTTTAAATAGAATAAATTAATGAACTTTACCTGTTATCGAGTGCTGTCAACCATAAATGAGCAGAAAAATTATTTCTCTTCTCAGAAATATCTATTTATAGGTGTCATCTAAAGGAACTGCAAAATGAAAGCTGGTCAAAAATGATAGAATAGTATTGTTGCTGTGGGATGGAGTATGGTACAAATAACGCAAATGAGATAATTATAAAGTAAGAAGAAAGTAAGATAAACCGTAATGATGTCATATGGAGATAAATGTTGAGTGCAAAAGTATAAAAAGTCTTACTTTGCTCTGCCAACCATTTTCTTTTTGATCTTTTCGTTCCTCTATTACGATTACGACTACCATTCTATGCTTCTTTTTAGTATTATTTTATCTTTATAGTGCTAGATTTTTGTATAATTAATCATTCGGTACAAAAAGTTAATAGTTTATGTGACTTAGTGTTATATTTATTGAGGAAATTATGAATATTAAGCGAAAAGAGAATCGTGTACGTGATTGCGTTTCAATAGGGTTTCTTATTGATAATTCATTAAAATGAAATTAATATTTTCAGATAAAGAATGGAAAATGAAGTGAAGGAAATTTCACACATTTTCGGGGTCCCAAACTTTTTGGAAAGCTATTCGCTTGTGAACTTTGCCCTCCAAAGTGATATGACAGAAGCTGCGGAGGTAATTTTTAATGCTTCTTTCGCACTTATTAGAATTCACTTGTTTAAATTCTATTGATTTTGACATGACAGTTATTGAAATAAATCTAAATACTCATTCAAGCTATCATGGAAAAATTTTGTTAACGCGAGATTTTGCTGTTCATTATTTCACAGAGGACTTTTAGCGTGAAGATTTCCGTTACCGACTTGCGCTGTAAGATGAAAACACAGAAAATGAACAAGAACAAGACAACGAAGAGGAAACAGGGCAACTGGCATCTGTGGAGCTCTATTTTGATAATAAAGCTGTTTTGACTCCTCTTCCGAAGAGATCTCCAAGATGCCGGATGGAAAACGACGAGGAGGAGGAACCGGAGGTTGAGATTCTTGAGCTAGTCTTATAACTATTCTTACTGAGAAAAGAGGAAGTTGGTTTACTTTTGGCAGTGCATGTGAGAAAAAACAAAGATTTGTGCTACATTTCTGAAATATTAATTAATGCTATTCCATTACAGAAGAAACTGAACAATAACGTTCCCGGTTCCTGCCGTCTCGAAAGGTATTGAGCACCTGTAGCTTTCCATCCTCAAAATATGGAAGGTCTTCCAACTCAGTTTTAGGCGGAAGCTAAAAAAATCAAATAAGAAGCGCCAATGATGTTACGGTCGATGAGAATCAGATCTTCTAAGGTGAGTAATTATATTTTTTGAATAAAAGAAGAAATTTATTAGAAATGTGTGTGATCTGAATTTGTTATGCAAAAATTTAGCACGTCTTGTATATATATATATATATATTGAAATTTCAGTATGCGAAATTTGTGTACGCATATTTGGAACCTTAAAATATAGCGTATCCACGCGGCTGCAAAAGTGCACAAGGGATGGTAAGTATTAATAGTGAAAATTTTTTTAAATCCTTTGCAGCAACATTTTCCTATTCATTCGTGGCATCAGAATTGGTTCCAGGCTTCTTTGCTTTGTAAGGCCATTGCTTAACCCTGCCGGACTGAGCAAAAGCAGGTAGCCGTGAAGGCGCATGTGATCGAATGGTGCCCGAGGGCACACAAGTCGATTATGAATGGAAGGTGAAGCATCACCGATTGAAAACTGCAGAAATGGAGAAGATCGTTCAGGATTTATACATATTAAGTAAGAATTTTCTTCTAATTACCTCTACAAAAGATTTCAAAGTTTTTATATGCCAACATTGGAATTATATTTTTATTCAGTTCCATATCACATTGAAATTTGCGCTCATTACAGAATAAACATATATCATATATGTTATGTATGAAATTATGGCCCAGTGCAACAAAAGTGGAATGATTGCAATGCGATGAGACAGAAATGAAAGCGAGGATTTAACAAATACGCAAAGTTATTTCATTTTTCTTACATAATTTTGTGTTTTAAATGTATTCTTTGCTGCGTAGTTTTATTTAAGTGATGTGTTACTGTGCATTGTTTTTTTTTCAGTAATATATTACTGTGTATTGTTTTCATTTTATGTACCATTTGTATTTTAATGCTTAAAATGTTTTTAAATACTTTCTTGAGCGTTTTTGTATAAGTTTGTACAATTTGTATAAGGTTATTATATAATTTTACCTTTAATATATATTGCTTTGTTTTGTTCCTCCTATAACTTTTATTGTATTTCTGTCTCGAGAAAACCTTTTTGTTTTATGAACTAATGTTACGAGTGCTTTCAAATTTTCTAGTCCATAGCCAATAAATGATGAGCAGCAGTTCTTATAGTAAGTAACTAGTTTGATTTATCATTTTAATTAAGTTAATTCATTTAAATAATATCACAGATTAATTTGTTAGTGATAGACTGTGCAATCAAATGTTACGTATTGTAATGGTTAGGCAGAGCTTATTTTCGGAGTTGTTGCAAGTTTTACCGCCACACTTTTCCTCTTTTGTTCACAGGTTGCTTAATTGGTATAGGTAGAATTTATTTTATCAATTCCGTAAAATTATTGGCAGAATATGCTGACGTTTTTAGAGTAGTATTGAGAGAGAGTTGAAACTTCACAAAATGAATAATTTTTGATTTATTTATTGAAGAGGTTCCTACTTAAGGAACTCTCTTAGAAGAATTATCTAATCTTTTCCCGCGGTTGGGGCTATTTCTAGAGACATTCACTGTCGACGAACGCGACGAACGCAATTATCGAAGGCTGTGTTTTAACACAAAACAGCGAAGGTAATGTATTTGATATGAAAGGTTTGCATTTCAATTTTTCACTTACAATTTCTATAAAATTACACTTAGCGCGCTATATTTCACCGATGTGGTCACTCCTTTTCTTTTCATTTTGTTTTTGAAGGAAAATTTAGTGGATAATATTGCTGTGGACATTACTCTTGTTAATGCCATTATTAGTAAAAATCAATATATATATATATTATTAATCAGTTTATTAATATTACCATTTTGTACGCCACTGTAATGGAATTAGCTGCCTCCCAAAAATCATATTGGGAATGACCTTTGTTGTCAAAAAGTAGAGCCAAACACAAATTTTTTGTATAAACAATAGCATAATCCCTCTCACGCATGTAGTACCTCTCGTGTGTGTGTAGTCTCTCGTGTGTGTATAGTCCCTCCCGTGTGTGTGTGGTCCCTCTCGTGTGTGTGTGCAGTCCCTCTCATGTGTGTGCAGTCCCTTTCATGTGTGTGCAGTCCCTTTCATGTGTGTGCAGTCCCTCTCATGTGTGTGCAGTCCCTCTCATGTGTGTGTAGTCCCTCTCATGTGTGTGTAGTCCCTCTCGTGTGTGTAGTCCCTCCCGTGTGTGTAGTCCCTCCCGTG